GGGCTTTTGTTGAAAATTAGATGACTCTTAGGGACATTTTTGCAATTTCAGTAATTTTAGTATATTACAATTTAGGACATGGGTCAAACTTGTAATTAACCAAACTATAATTAATATTTTTATAATTTCATTTATTTTTCTGTTGGTCGGATCTCGTTTGTTTTTGTGCAATCTGATAGACATTTATGTCCTATTCGTATAACCTTAATTGGCAATCGGAACACATAAAAAATATAGATAAAAAATAGTATTATTTTTCATAAAAGAAATAGGTATTATTTTTCAAATAATTCGGCATGTTGGCTTATTTTTTTAAGATAAAAAAAATAAATTCAACATTTTTTTTCTGGAACGAAAGGGATTTTATAAACACAAAAGTGCGAAAAGAAAGCAGCCCAAAGCTGAGTAATTACAACTAAGAGCTCAAAACTGAGAGGACATATCCGGAGATCGCCTAGAGAAGCTATAGCAACGTTAAACCAACACAACTACAAACTAAACAGAAACGAACTATACAGCTCCCAAAAGGAGAATGACCAATCACAAAAGGATAATGTGCGCTCTCACTCGGGCTCAGAGAGGCCAACGACCCAAACTAAAATAAAAAATCCTAAACAACGGACACAACAAGACAAACTAAAACTAACAAAAACTAAACGAACAAACACAACCCTTCCCCAGCAGAATAACCGAGCCCAGCACAAGACAACAATGGAATAAGGACCAACCATCCCCACAGCTTGACTAGAAAACCAGAACGCCGCTCCAGAAACTGCCTTTAATGCTAACTAAAGATGAGTTACGAACCGCAAACAATTCCTAGGATGTGCCGATCCAAAGCTGGACGAACAGTGGCCAGACCCCACCCCAAAACCCACCATCCCGAACCCGACCATCACCAATGGCCCAAATCTGAGAATGTCAGTCTTCCCCATCCTTCACACCAAAGGAAGTAGGGAAACGCAGGGGGGTCGAACCATGCCCCTTAACCCTAGTCCGCTCGCCACCTACAACAGCGAGCAGCCAGGGCCACGCCCCACTCCCAATCCCGCTCCATTACCCAACGCCACTATGAAACCAGGGAGACGACAATCGCGACCGCGACTGGCAATTAGAGCTCGGTGACCGTGACCGCAACCTGCGACCCCAGCTTGGCGAGATCTGGCAGAAGGGCGACCATCTTCCTCCATCGGCGCAAACGGGCGGGGAATGGCGCAAAATTGGGTTAAGGACGCAGCTAAAGACCATCCCCCGGGAAAGGCACGCTAACAACTTAAATCGGCAAATGTGAATGAGGGGAAAGAGGGATGTTAGAGGTATGCTGTAAAAGCTGTGTTTTGCAGTTTCTATCAATTCCATTTTGATCTGGCAATCATGTTTCGGTCAAAGTACATATGTTTGCAGTTTATTTATT